GGGAATAACAAGTGTAATATCCACTAAAGCAAAGCTTAAGTATATAACACCAACATGGACTTGTAATCGAAATAGGTTTACTCACTATTCACTTAATACTAGATTCATGCTACTTGCTAGATGTTCCCATGATATGTGGGTTCTTGAATTAAGGAGTTAATTCAAGAATAAAAGTTAATGTGATTAACTCAAATTACAAAGAGTTGTAAGCCCACTACTAGTATTAATTGTGAACCTAAAAGGTCACACCAATGTTTGTATGAAGACAAATATTAGTATTTCTAAAGAGTTAGAATTAATTGACAAAATCTAATTTTGATTAGATGTCAATTAAATGAATATCTTAAATTAATCAATTGGATTGATTAAATGTATTTTGGATATTAATTTAGTAATTAATGGAATTACTAAATTAATAGTTGGATTTTAAAATTGGATTTTAAAATTCAAATCCAAATAATAATATGATTATTATATGAGGAGAATTTTAAATATGGAATATATGTGTTTACAAATGATTTTAAAAGAGTTTAAAATTATTTATTTATTATTATTATTGATTTTTAATATTGATTAAAGATTAAATAATAATAATAATAATAATAATATAATAATGAAAGAAGATAGGATCTTGCACATTATTATATTCTTGTATTAACTTGAAGAAATGATAAAAGACTTTTTAACTTTACTTGTGAAAGTTATTAAAGATTTTTTATCATTTCTTGTAAAAGTTATACAAGACATATATATTTTATTACTAAAACGTTTAGTATAAATATGGGCATGGTTGATGTTCATATTTGCTAGAATTTGATTCGAGTATTGAAAGCTAAAGTGTTAGTGTTTAATTCAAGTGTTGTAACAAGAAAGAGTTCTTGTGTAATTCTCCTCAAATATATATTCCTATACTAGTTATAAAACCGGATAGTTTCTACTAGCGATGGAGTTATCTCGGTTTCGGATTCAAACGGTGGATACGCTTAGAGGGAAGACATTTGGATTTCTAAAGCAACGAACACGAAGTGCTCGTTACCATACCGGGAATCGATTTCCTCAAACACCGTCGTCTTAGAAGGAGTTAGAGAAAAAGGTAATATTTGATATTACTTGTAACAAATCAAAATTTGTATTATTTTATGTTTTTAAAGATGACAATCTGTTAATTAGCTTTGTGTATTTACGGGTTATGTAATTATATGATAAATACATGTTTTGAAAAATTTTATTCTGTTGCGTTTCACCCGTACGGTACTAGCAAACCCAACACGTGGGTGTCGACGTGTTCAATGACATAGGAGAGTACGCAAGCTAGCGAGGGTGACGCGTGCTAGGCACGCGAGTTGGACGCGGTAGGTGCCAGAAACGTGCGCGAGAGTGCGACACAGGTGCGCTGAGAGGAGACGTGTGCGAGACAATCGACTCATAAATGTGACTATAAGGTCAAGAAGGACGAGGGCAACGCGAAGGTCGACCAAGGTGATAGGGTCGAGCATGCAAAAGTCTACCACGATAAGGAGGACGAGCAAGAAGCTTGAGAGATTGAGGCTTGAAGGGCCGAGGTCGACACTAGCACGATCGAATGCGAGAGGGACAAAGCTACAGCAGATCGATGCGCAAGTGGGTCGATCACGAGCATCGCACTACGGGTTGTGCCATGCGAGAAGCGAGGTTTGGAGTACAAGGTTAAGCGTGGAAGTTGAGAAAGTCTCGTGGGTCAAGAAATAGCGCGCGACCAAGCACGCGGAGGAGTACGCGGGTTGGACGCGCGGTCACACGAGCCAGTCCATGAAGGTCACGCACGGGGGTGCACAAGAGCGTCGAGAAGAAGGCCCCAAGATGAGCAACAATCGGGCGCAAGGAAGGGTACGAACACGCGCATAGGGGTAGACGTGCACGGATGAGACCACGCCTTAAACAGACATGCCATCAGTGGTTTCGGGATGCACATCAAAGGAGTAAAATCTGGTGGAGATGGCTAAGGCACCGGGTGGCTCGAAGAAATGGAAGACACGCAAGTCGGGTGCCCAACGGGTGCAGCCCACGCACATGGACGCACTGGCGCCCAGTGGCGCGCAGGGCCACGCGCGGGCGGGCGCACGCACAGACAGGCCGCGAATAGGTCAAGCGCGCGCAGTCTTCAGCGCATGCAGGCACGCGCGCAGTCACGGGCGCTCGCGGGGGCAATACAGCGGAATAGCGCGCACAGGGATGAGCGCGAGCTGGGCAGCAGCGCGCGCGGGCGCATGTCTGCCAGGGGAAGAGGAGGAGGAGGAGGTTCCCAATTAAACCAGTCGAACTAGCTTGTCCGGACCAGTTTTCCAAACCATGCCAATTCTAGTACTCCACAAACCATCAAAAACTAAATGGAAAGAAAGTAAGAAAGAAAAAAAAGGAAGGTAGGTTTTATTGGGAGACGTAGAAAGCAAATAAAGTAAAAATATAAATCCAAAGTATGTAGAAAAATGGAATAATAAATCCTTCCATCGACGTTTATGGGAGCAAATAAAATAAAAATATATATCCAATGTAGGTAGCAAAATGGAATAATAGGAGGAGGAGGAGGAGGAGGAGGAGGAGGAGGAGGAGGCTCCGTATGGCCGATTCTCTTGTTTGCATATCCAAGAGGTCTTCGAGCCTGATCGGGTCGAGCTGGAAGGCCAGGTCGTCCTACCTTCCGTACCCCTAAAAGCTTCGCAACCGATGCTCAAACGCGCTCTAGTGACCAAAAAATGGAGCGAGAGCGGATTCGGGGTTTGAAGAAATCTGCATATTTCTGAGGGAAGGTCAAGGGCACTAGACTTCAGTGACTAACGAGTTCCACTACTTTGCCTGGTTTGGACTCTGGGTCTTATTGAGGGTGTTTTAATTGCTTTAAAGGCTCAGTCCTCTACTACTCAGTTTGGCCTGCCCTCGTCTTCTTCACTTAGGAGGGAGCACTTCTTCTCAAGTACCGTAAAGAACCTATTCATAAGGAGGAGGAGGAGGAGGAGGAGGAGGAGGAGAGCCAGCCAAATAAGAAAAGGAAAAAAAAAACCACTATCTCACATCGAAAAAAAATGAAGTGTTTTTAATGAGGAAGTCGGAATGGGACATTGTAATAAAAATTATTGGTGTGCTGGAACCACTTCCGATTCTCTTGTCTTACTGGTTTTTGAACCGTCCAAACGGTTTCTAATCGGAAGAAGAAGAAGAAGAAGATGAAGAAGATGAGGAAAAAAAGCCAGCAAAATAGGAAAAGGAAAAAAAAGCCACTATCCCACATCAAAAAAGAAATGAAGTGTTTTTAATGAGAAAGTCAAAATGGGACATTGTGATAAAAATTGTTGGTCTGCTAAAACCACTTCTGATTCTCTTGTCTTACTGGTTTTTGAACGGTCCAAACAGTTTGTAGCCGATTTTTGCAATCAGCGATTTTACACCTCAGACTGGATCAAAGTGATAACTAGTTCCAAATTAAACCAGTCTGAACTGGCCTATCCGAACCAGTTTTCCAAACCATGCCAATTATAGTACTCCACAAACCATCAAAAACTAAAAGGAAAGGAAGTAAGAA